AATATTATAATAGCTAACTGATAATAGTCAACTAAATAATCGATAAGCAGGTAAACAGTCAAATACTAATAACAAACAACAACCATCCAATGAATAAACGATACCAATAAATAGACAATAGATGTATAGATCGAGCAACCAGCACACTAGGGACAACTCGCTGATCCCCAATCCGATACATCCATCACATCACATATTAAAGCAATCAGTAATTACCACCAATGAATGGCAATTATAGTCAATAATAAACAAAATCTCGCTCGACTATAACTCCATAATCACAGACTACCAATACTTCGGATCATAATGCACTCAACCACCAACATACCACAATAACTCAACTATGAATAACTCGACAAGATACATAACCACATGATCAATACACAAGATAGTAAATCGATCGATCGATCGCCACTCGACCTACCTCCGGCATAATCAACTCGCGTCATCACATAATACAATGAAAATCTTAATATTAATAAAATACATAAAAATATATCACAGACCATCACACACCAATCAATAAACACATACATCATAACTAAGAAGAAAAAATGACTAAAACTAATAAAATATATCAATAACCACTAAAATCGCACCCAACCACATACCATCCAAAGCACCTTCATACAGAAATACATCCACCACATACCTACATACATACATACTCCACATAATAATCACATCCTAATACATCCACATCACACTATACATACATAATCCAATACATCCATCACCCCCCACCACTTCCACCTCACCTCCCTCTCCACACCATCTCTCCGCTCTTTCCTCTTCTTCCAATTTATCCACTTCTTTCCTCTTCACTATTCCTCCCTCTTTTGGTTGCTCTTTCCTCCTCTCACCCTCTACCTCACTTCATCACTTCCCTTTGCTTCACTTCTCTCCCCCTCCATCACTTCTCTCCTACCTTCTTCTCTTATTTTTCTCGGTATCTTTCTATCTCGCTCCATTTCATTATAAACTTTTTCTGTCTTCCCTGCCTCCCTTTCTCCACATTCCTCAAGCTTTTCATCTTCACCCACCCTTCCTCTTCGCTTCTTCGTCCCTGACCAACACAATCTCATCTTTCTTATTGTGAAAGCACGCTCTCTTTCCTCCCTCTTCCCTATTCCTAGTCATCACACTCGACCTCGTCCTTCTCTCTCTCATCCATCTCTGCTCGATCTCTCCATCTCTTCTCGCTC